CAATAAGTCAGACTAACTGAAATAAGCCTGGCTTATTTGGTAAACTTGTTTTATGAAACAGGCCTTGAGGCATTAGAAGTAATCATATTTTTTTCCAATGCATCATATTGCATCGAATCGCATTGTGTTGTCAGCCATGCTGATCATGACCTGTCCCGGTGACCCTGATCGCGCCTGACCTGCCTTCCGTTTCCATTATACGCCTTCCGTTTCCACTATATTCTCTCTCACACATACATACATTCTTCTTTTACATAAACATATTTTCTTCAGACATACATTCTATATATATATACAGTTTCAGTAATTTAGTGGGTACAGGATCTAACAGGCATGTTGTTGGTTTAGTAGTCTGCCACAAGCAGTGGTGGACACCATCACTCAGGCTAGAGCTCCCTCTATGAGGCAAGCCTATGCACTGAAGTGGAGTCTGTTCGCAAACTGGTGTTCTTCTCGCCGAGAAGACCCTCGGAGATGCACGATTGGAGTAGTGCTTTCTTTCCACTTCAGAGGGGTCCCTTTGAGCCGCTGGATTCAGTCGAGCTTAAGTTCCTGTCTGCTAAGACAGCGCTCCTGACCGTGCTCACTTCCATCAAGAGGGTCGGGGACCTCCAAGCATTTTTGGTGAGCGAAGAGTGCCTTGTGTTTGTGCCCTGCCCTACTCTCACGTTGTCTTGAGACCCCAGCCTGGATACGTGCCCAAGGTTCCCACCATGCCTTTTCGCAATCAGGTGGTGAACCTGCAAGCACTGCCCTTGGAGGAGGCAGATCCAGCCTTGGCGCTGCTTTGTTCCGTAAGAGCACTGCGCATATATGTGGACTGCACCCGGAGCTTTAGAAGCTCCGAGCAGCTCTTTCTCTGCTACAGAGGTCAGCAGAAAGGGAAGGTTGTCTCCAAGCAGAGGTTGGCCCACTGGATAGTGGATGCCATCGCCTTGGCGTACCAATCCCAAGGCGAGCCGTGCCCCCTGGGGGTGAGGGCTCGCTCCACACGGAGTGTTGCCTCCTCCTATGCATTGGTGCATGGCACCTCTCTGGCAGACATCTGTAGAGCTGCAAGCTGGGCGACACCAAACACCTTCGCAAGATTTTACAGTCTCCGTGTTGAGCCAGTTTTTTCCCATGTGTTGGTAACGGGTAAGTGGTGGGAAGAGCTGGCCGATGTCATGCTAGCTGCGCCATTCCCCCTCACCTGGGGATGCGAGTGCATTTTTCCTCCTCCAGTAAGTTCCCCGGACGGCGAACCCTGGTCGAGTATCCTCCAGCACCCCCAGCAGTCAGACTGGGCGGAGCAGTCTAACGCCAGGCCCAGTATAGGTGTTAGCTTGCCCGGGTCTCCAGTCAGCCCCTGTACTGGGCTAGGTGTCCATATGTAAGGTTCCCCTCTCGGTAAGCCTGTGTCTTCCCTTTGACAGATCATTCTGTCAGTCTCTGCTGGCAGTTGTTCCATCCCTACTCTTAGGTAGGAACTGCCTCAGAGACCCATTCCATATGTAGTGCTGCCCCAGGCCTGGGTCAGTCCATTCAGTGTCTTCACATGATACCTCCCTGCAGGAAGGATTTGGCCTCCGTAGCGCCCTTCTCCGGAAGGCTTGCTTCCCCACCGTTACTGCCGAGCTGTAACAACAAATAGGAAAGACTTGAAGCAAATCATTCATTGAAGGTCGAAATCCCTTCTGTTAAGAAATTTCTCTAGTGAAAGGAACAGCGGCTTGGCTATCACCAGCAGCGTTATACTCCCCTCTAGTCCCTGCGGGTACCAAGGGCAGCTAATTTGCGCTGGGGCGGTGGGAAAGTTACTACCTTTGCATTTGTCTGACAAGCGGCTGCTTGTCAACATTTGTGATCCCATAGGGTTGTGATGGGGTTCAGGTTGTGGCGCTTTCCATGGACCCCTAATGTCGTCACGACATAACTCATAGTGACCGACAGGTAGGGAATGTCTCGGTTATGTACGTAACCCTCGTTCCCTGATGGAGGGAACGGAGACGTTATGTCCCCATGCCACAACCTCGAACCATCGCTGGCAGCCAGGGACAAGTTCTTGGCTCCTCAGCGTAACACCTGAAGAGTGGATGCACCTGTCGCCTATTTATACCCGTATGCACGGGGAGTGGCTCAGGTTTGCAAAATCCACTAGCCAGATTTAATTGGCATTTTATCTTAAAGTCAGAGGTGATTGGGGCTCCCAAGTGAATCCCCTAATGTCGTCATAACATAACGTCTCCGTTCTCTCATCAGGGAACAAGGGTTACGTACGTAACCGAGACGTTTTGATATATTTCTGGTAGGAAATTACAAAATATCTTCATGGAACATGATCCTTACTGATTTTTGGCATAAAATAAAAATCTATAATTTTGACCCATGCAATGTATTGTTGGTTTTTGCTACAAATATACCCGTGCTCCTTAAGACTGGTTTTGTGGTCCAGGGTCATATATAATAACTGTTTTTAAAAGGTACATCTTTTTGTTCAAAATTTACAAAATAAGAAAAAAAATTATGCCAACCTCAGATTTTTGATTGGTAGTATTCTACATATTTATAAGTGACAATTTTTTAAGTGGCACACTAAAGAGCATTCCAAAGGGTTCCTAACAAGCATGTTTTAAACTCATAATTTTGCTGTCTTCTGTTTCCAGGGATGGCCATGGAAGTGGCCCCACTCTCTCCACTACCCGTCCCATTCAGAAGACTCTGTCCAGGCAGGACAGTCAGTACAGTGAGGACCTGGACAATGCCATGAACAACAAGCTTGCCACCCAGCCACCTAGTAACTCCACTCCTCATGATAGTCTGCTCAATCTGGCCAACAGTGCCCACACTGCCGGCCTGGCACATACTGACACTGAGAGCAGCCTCATTCTCACCAACCCTTCCTCTACCACTGCTAATGTTACCAGCACTGGTCACCTGAGCATGAACCCCGATTACACTGCCGTGGACATTCCCCCGATGTTCCCCTCCAGTAACGCCATCCTACAGGGTGAGAGAAAGAGCTAAAGAGAATAACTGACATTTTTATTTATTGTCTTAATCATCTGTTTTACTATGTTGTTTCCCTTCCTCGTCTCCACAGTCAATAAGAATGCAAACACAGAGCCCCTGCCCAAGAAGGAGGACACAAAGGGTGACGATGACGATGATGAGAAAGATGATGCGGGGCCTAAACCCATGCCACCCTACACCTCAATGTTCATTCTGACTACCACCAACCCGTGAGTGCAGACATCTCTGTGAAACTTGCTAATTTACTGCCAGTCCTGGCACTGTGACTCTGCAGTTGGTCAATATTACAATTGCATTCCCCACAATAAAAAATATTAATAATATCTGGTATATAATGACCACTTTTCAAAGTCCAATCAATTCCAATGAATAAAATGAAGTCCTGTCCTGCTTATTTCCTACTATTTATTATCCTGTTTCATTTGGAAATTCCTCCAATTCTCTAATTATTGAAGTAAAATAGGGTGCAAACACTCTTTCATGTTGACATTAAACAAAACTGACTAGAGTCACCTGCTTTCGCCTCTGAGTTTTTATATTAAATTAAATGAACTTTCTTTCAAAAGAAGTGGTTGTTTTTGTTATTAACAGGTATTTTTATGAACTTCCATTGTAGATTTCGAAGGTTGTGCCACTATATCGTCACGCTCAGATATTTTGAGATGTGTATTCTGCTGGTCATTGCAATGAGCAGTATTGCCCTGGCCGCTGAAGACCCTGTCTGGCCCGATTCCCCCCGCAACAATGTGAGACAATCCCACATCTCAACATCCTCTCTTTATGTCTCTGAGGTTCAGTTTATTTTTGTCTACTGGACTAGAAATCATTTAATCTATCTATCCATCTGTGCTTCTAATCATTACCTGATGTACTAGTTTACTTCTCCATCATTTTCATCTGTTTATTTATCATTCTTTATATTCATTTTGTCATATTGATTTGTCATAACCGGCTTAATTTTATTGCTAACAATGTGTCCCTCTTTTGTGCTTGCAGATCCTGCGGTACTTTGACTATGTGTTCACTGGTGTGTTCACCTTTGAGATGCTCATTAAGGTAAGTATCTATCCTGCACAGCTGTCTGGGGTATGATGGTCTATACTTCACCCTTCAACAAATTATACTTATGTATTTGTACTTAGAGTTGTTTATTGGTCTCCATGTTGTGTCATGCAATAATATGAAGTACTATAGGGTTCATATTCATTTCAAGTTCATATAGTTGCACATGCTTTTGGAAACCCCAGAAATGTCTGGGAATTTTAAAATAGTGATTCCTGGAAATATCATAAAAATGAATTACAATACAAGGTACAGGAATCATGATTGCAATTATTATATATTTTTTTATTTCAAATGAATGCTTTATATTCATTATGTAATCCTCAAAAATATATATCTGTATAATTTTAAGCAGCACAACTGTTTTAACATTGATAATAACAAATATTTCTTGAACAGCAAATCAGCATATTTTAATGATTTCTGGAGGATCATGTGACACTGAAGACTGGAGCAATGGCTGCTGAAGATTTAGCTTTGACATCACAGAAATAGATTAAAGTTTACTTATATATTCAAATAGAAAATTGTTATTTTAAATTGTAATAATATTTCACAATTTTACTGTATTTTTGATCAAATAAATGCAGCCTTGTTGAGCAGAAGAGACTCCTTTCAAAGACCTCAAACTTCTGAACAGCAGTGCACTTACTAAATAATTCTCTCTCTGTTTCAGATGGTAGATTTAGGTCTTGTCCTCCATCAAGGCTCATATTTCCGTGACCTGTGGAACATCCTGGACTTTATAGTGGTTAGTGGTGCCCTGGTGGCGTTTGCCTTCACGTAAGTGTCATCAAGGCCCCAGCGCTCATGCCTCACTCCTCTCTCCTCTCCTGCTTGCTGCCTTTCCTTGTCCTTTCCCGTCTTGCTCCCTACAGGTCAAACGCCTGTGTAGTCGGCACAGCTCTCTGCCACCCTGGAGCGCCAGCCTGCTACCCATACAACCCAGCTGTCTCTCTCTCTCTCTCTCTTTTCTCTCTCACCATTTCTCTGCCTTTCTCTCCTTCCCCAACTCAGTTCTGTGCATTTGGCATATCTTGAC